CAGACTATGATCAATCAACAATCGCGGGAGGGGCTTCCGGCCGTGTGACGTCACACGGTCGAACGGCTCAATTTGAGGCAGGGGAAAACATATAAGGAGATTAAAACAAAAACACTGGATGGATTTTTATCATTATATGATGGTTGTGTACAGGCACTGCCAATACACATTTCAGTACAATCAACTTAAAAAAGTGCATGTACCATTATATGACCCCTTTAACATTTTCCTCCCATAGAAAACCATTATAAATAGCAAGTTATTATGTCGAAATAACGAGATATTATAGCGAAATAACATATGTCGAAAAATAACGACGTGACGTCACATGGGGCGGGGCAATGCGAACCTCTAAACTCCACTCCAATGCAGAACAAGTGTTAACAGGTTTATTGACAAACAGCAGACAGATGACAGGATGTGGTGGGAGAGGTTAACAGTCCAGACAATAGGCAGGGATGAGACACAATGACAGCCATAGTAACTAGCCGAGCAGCACTTGTAACTAGCAAGATGACTGGAAGCTGGAGAGTAGAAATGGCAGAGCAGAATGAGACCTCAGAATACTAGCAGTAGCCAGATATGAACTTGTAAGTACTCCAGCAAGGCACTCAGGGATCTCAGGCTCAGCACCAGGCTTCCTCCAAAGCCAAGAGTGTAAGCAGTCAGGGACACTCTGCTAGCAGGACTGGAACTATACACAGAAGACAAGACAGAACCGATGGCAGAACTAAAGCACAAAATTCTTCTACAAATAAAACACTGTAGACTTTAGTCACAAGAAACAAACTATGTAGCACAGTAGTACAACATCTAACGAACTGGCAACACATGAGGGAAAGAGCACACACATAAAGGGAGTTAACAAGAGTAACAGGTGAGAACACTTAAGGAACAGGTGAACACACTCACGTAAACGAGGACTGAAACAAGGGAGCTGAGAACATGAGGAACAGGTGACAACACTCAGACAAACGAGGACTCAACTAGACAAGAGGGCATGGTACAGGGAAACAAGGAGGCAGGAACAGAGGAGCACATGGCCAACACAAACACAACCATATGTTCAAGCACAACACAAACATCGAGACATGAAACAAAGACAACACAGACAAAGCTGCCAGAGCAAGACCCTGACAGTTTTGTCTGATGCCGTTTTGTCCGATGCCTTTTAGTCTGATGCCTTTTTGTCTGAGGCTGTTTCATCTGATGCCTAATTGTCTGAGACCTGACACCTGACATTGTTTTTCCTGAGACCTGAAGCTTTTCAGTCTGAGGCGCGATGCCGTTTTGTCCAATGACTGAAGCCTTTTAGTCTGAGGCATGATGCCTTGTTTTCATATGTCTGAGGTCTGAGGATGTCCTAAAATGTACACCGTAGTACGGTATGACAAACATAAAACAACAGAAAAATATACTTATAAAAAAAAAAAAAAAAAGGTTGGCATTAGGGGAGTAACAATAATATTTCCTCTTAGATGGGTACAATTTCAAATAGTTTTGTAAGGTTGGCGAAAAAGTTTTATTGACATTCGTAGGGAAAACTTTATCAAGTTCATCTATTCATGGTGAAACTGATTCTAATTAGTACTTATATGTAAAATAAACATCAATTTAATAAAAAAAATGTTTTAATAATGTGAACAATTCTCTCAAGTATTTTTTTAATGTTATTTAATAATTTCTTAGTACTTCGAAATGTCACACCATAGGACACATTTACAGTACTGTTGAGTGAAAACGTGAAAAAAAAAAAATATGTGAAGTCATTGACAAAATGAGTGACCACTACTATTTTCTGAAACTGCACATACTCCATAAATATGTTTTTTTCTTAAAAAGTAAAAAAAAAATTTAAGTACTTTTTCTTGACCATTTGTCAACTAGGCCTACCCACCTGCTTATTATTTTGTACTTCTGATAAATCCATGACATGAAAGTTAAACAACCAACAATGTAGAGATAAACCTTACAAAAAGTTCGAGGTGCGTTACTTTGTCAGTAGCCTATAACGTTACCTATTTAATGTGAGAGGTAAAAGTGATAGCCTAGCGTTCACAGTAGCCTACATTAACCTGTTGTGGCACAACATCGCTCTAAACTAAAGAGAAGACTATACGGTGCGAAACGTTTGGAATTATTAAGATTTTTAAAACGGTAATATATTTAAAAACGTAAAATGTTTCATTTCTGTGATGCCAAAGATGAACTAGCCTATACGCTGATTTCACGCAGCCACCATTTTGAAATGGCTCCGGTGGGAAGAAAACATAGACAGTAAAAGAAATGGACAGAGCGATCTCATTGGAACTCAGTTGAGACAGTTGAAGCCCACTTTTAGCGATTTTTGAGCACTTCCGTTCCTGACGCGCAGACTCAGACCGACTCAAACTAAGCTTGATGACGTGAGCAACCTGTCTGACAGACGTTAATCTTCTAGTAGCTGTGCGTGAAAACTGCCAACGTTAATCTTGCAGAGACGGGGAACTTGAGCAAAGAGTTATTTGGCGTGAGTGAGCAGGAGTAAGAATTCCGTTGCTTTTATGGACTCATTATCTATGGGCTTCTCCCTTGACGGGACGTCCCCCCGATTGCCTGCGAGCTTCTCCTCCTGTCTGTACGGTAACTTCTGTACAGCGCGACAGAGAGTCGAGTGGTTATGACGCAATCGTTAGCCTATTTTTACTAAATCTGTTTCTACGGAGCCATAGTGTAACATAGAAGGTAATGGAGCCCTTTATACATTGTCGTGTTTCTTTAGAAATAAATAATGGACAAATGGAGTCTTTAAACGCCTCAGATGTAAAGTTATTCGCTGTCAAAGTGACGCAAAAATGAATGGGAGTCAATGGAAATGCTAACGCAAGTGAAGTTCTGCTACAACATGGCGGCACCCGGCGGGCTTCAACTTCCGGTCGATGGATTACCCCCTTGGAAGAAAACCAGAAGTGTCGCCTTTAATCATAGGAGAGTCGCGAATGCGATGGCGTATTGTTGTGTTTAATGTAGAAATTAGTTTTTCTAAAAATGAACATACATTTCTTTCATACTTTACTATAGCATATACAGTGAAATTCATTTATAAATAAAATGTTTTTTTTATATATAATTCAGAACGTAAAAAAAGAAGCAGGAACGAACACATATCCTATATTGGATATTCACATCTGGTGTAAATCGCGGCAGCAGCTTCAGGTTGGTAGTCCAAGGCCCTGTCCCAAATGGCACACTCCGGACTTGTGGACTTCCTCAGAGTCCACACTTCGGTGACGTCATGTAGTGCAGACCTATAGGGCCCTTAGCGCGAGTCTGCGAGGGCGCATTGAGAGGTATTTTTGGGACAGACTCGATCGTCACACCGGAAACAGGAAGACGGTCTGATTGTTGTTATGGACAGGAGCTACAGGTTCGGGGAAATATGCTGCCTATTGTTGTTGTGCTTACATATGACTCAATAAAGCCCTGACATTTTGTTCTATTTATTTAATTAATCATAATGCGATCGTATTATTCAGCTCGCTATTATTAGCCTATGTTTGAGACATCAACCACTGGTCGATGATCATTATGTTTGTATAAACTTGTCATAAAAACCGTAATGATAATTACACTTAAATATTTTCTTCTCAGCCATGTTAACAATTGTCCGTGAGCAAAATCTCCTCCCATCCGTTGTCTGATTGGCCTTTCGCAAGGATTCCTGGGTAGTTAAAGTGTGTGGAGCCTGCATCTATGCGGGCTTCGCAGAAGACCACTTCAAGGGTACACAGGGGGCTCTGCTGAGCACACTTCAGAGCGTTAAAATGCTAAATGGGACGGCCTACGGACTCGTAGACTCGGTGAGCACGCGCAATTTAAGTCCACGAGACCGAAAGTCCGCATGAAGTGCGCCATTTGGGACAGGGCCGAAGTCATTGTTGTCTATCTGTACTTCCGGGGTTCTTCCCCCGGAGCCTCGCTTTCGATTTCAAAATGGCGGCTGCGTGAAATCAGCGTTTACCCAGCTAACACACGACGTAACAGTTACGTAATGTATTCGTACTTTTTGGTCACGTCATGACTTTACTAATTGATAACGTAACTACAACGTGGCATTCTCGTAATTTCATTACCATTACCAACCTACAACGTCGTCAGTAGCCTGCGTCCTCCTATAAGGTTATAAGATAACCAACAACGTTCCAGATACGTACTCTACTCTGCCACAACGTCGCAGAACTTTCTGACAACGTTACAAAGTTACGTCGTGGCAAACGAATCCAGGAATTTCACTTTTCCGGTTGCCGCGACGTAACTAGTTACGTTGCCACGACGAAAGTTTGGTCACCAGATTACGTTGCAGTTACGTAACAGTCACGTATTTTTGTTAGCTGGTATACTACCCAAACGCAGTGAGTTATAGTCATTGACAGAAATTGGTGGCGGCCTACTAATTATTTTCCACATTTTACATTTAAACAACACTTAATAACACAATAGTGCATTATACGTCCCTCAGGGTTCCTATCTTGTCAATGTTTACAAATTATCAGGAAATTACAGCATTCAGGCGGAGCACTGCAAGTTTAACGTTTGTGATTTAATGAGTGTCTACAATCAGGGATAGCTAGCCCACGGCTTTGTTATCTGTTTCGTATAAAATAATAAATTGTTCAAACACGTTGTCATTCAGAAGTGATAAACTTATGGATGGCAGGTCGGACCACCACATGACATTCGTTTATCGATTTATATTCCAAACATAGCACTTAGGGGATCAACATAATCGGATATATGTGAAGAGTATGGACATATCACCTTTTTACAGGAGCTATGCGTTTGTTTCGAGGCGGAGTAACATTTTCGAGGATCTGGTGTTCCATTCCATTGACATACCGGTAATGCATGTCTTATAGGCTACTGCCGACCAATGACGGCCAGACCTAAAGCGCAATGGGAGGAGCATGCATAGGCAATGTGTAAGTGTGAGTTCCCCAACCCTAAACTCTGGACCATATCAGGAGGAGGTCATTTTATTGTAGTATAAGTGTGACACAAACGCGTAGTTGTAAAGAAGTAAGATGGGGGACATTTCGTGCAGCTGTTCTTCAATGGTGTTGTGTTGCATTGGTTTCGTTACGGTTGTATATTTCCTGCTGAGGTGGTCATGGCAGTGTTGGCACGGATTCAAGGCATACATGATCTCTGAGATCTGGCAAACGGACTTGAGGACATATGGCCAGTGGGCTGGTAAGTCGTTCCTCACAGCTGCAGAGTGGGTTCCTTTCTCATCCTGTAATGATACAATTATACGTTGTTTCGTTGATGCAATACAGTGGAAGGAATAATTACGACCAATAATAATAGATGTCTGTAATCCCGCTTATTATTTTACTGTAAATGTCTTTGGCAAGCCGTTGTAACCCTTCACCAAATCTATTTTTGCGTTATGAATAGGCCTACTTTTTATTTTTAGTCACAATAGCTACACGCAACTATACCAATGTTCATTACAAATGACACATTTAGGTACTTATTTTTCTATTTATTAGATACAATTATCCATTTATTATACTCTATATTATATTTCTAAATTGTTACTCGTAGCATGCATTATATCTTTCCTTTTTATGAATATCTACAAGTGGCCGACTGAATTGATCACTATTCAATTCACAACTTTTGAAATAAGTACTAATATCTAATAGTTAATAGTAAAACTGGAAAATATATGAATCACTATGACATTACATAGCTACTAATAATTAAAACGTACTTAGTTTTAAGGAATACATGTTCAAATGGATTGCCATTAAAGTCATGAATAATTCACCACAGCATTTGTGAAGTTTTTTTTAACTAAATTTTTGACATTTTTGAACATTTTAAATCAGTCAGGAAAATGATTTCATTGTCGTAGCTGCCTAAACTAACTTTACTCATGTAAATGTAAAGTTGTCTGCTGTACTGCTTTATACAGGGATTTGATGAGACCAGGAAACATAATATGGAGTAGGCTAAGTCAACGTATCAGGTTTTGCCACCCGTCTGTGTTAGACTAAAGAAACTGATTACCTAAAAAATCTGTTACCAGCATGGATTTTGTGCCGGTCCATGCCGGTTTGTACTGCTCAGCACATGTTTTCTGCTGGTTCAGCTGGTGGACCATGCTTTAACCAGCAAAACCCTTCTGATTAGCTGGTGGACCATAGGGAGTCTGGCAGGCAAGTGAGGCAGCCGGGTCTTGCTGGAGCAGGACAGATGTTTGCGGTTAAACAGCATGAAGGGGCGTCACACCAACATATAGTGTCAAAAATGCAACATGTGCTTGTGACCTGCTTTGCAATGTTTTTCAGCAGGGGTGTACTTTTCCCGTCTTTCACAGTTGTAACTGGAGCGACATCAGGGATTGGTCGAGCATATGCTGAAGAGGTCAGTAAATAACAGTTTTTTGACAACATTAATTACATGGGAGTGTAATAGCACCTGTTTTTATACTAAAACGTTCACTAAAGATCTTTGAAGTTTGTAATTAACTATTAATCTGAGATGCATAGTTAGGGTTTCTTAAAGCTACATGCAATATTTGACTGCGTTTGGTGACTTAAAACACCCTTCACTTAAAGCCATCACTTAAGGTCAAGTTTGCTCTATAATTGTCATTAAAATGCAATTTTAGTGCAGTGTTTGACGAATTACTATGACAAACCAGTCTTGAAGTCTGATATCGTAGAGGATCCAGATGCACTAGTAATTTCAGTTTCCCAAAACCGCATGGATGTGGTCAAGTATTTTAACAGATTAAAATCCGGCCCTCTCTTGGCTGTGACTGTGTTGTTCTTGTCCTCAGTCAAGGAAGAGGAAAGTAGTCTGATTAATGAGAGGATGTCCATCATACAATGCGTTTGCACTCTTCCGTATCTTATCAAAACAGTGAAAGACTCCTGTGATTGACTTCCACAATGGCTTTCATTCATATGGAAAATTAGCCTACTTACTAATTCACCTCTATTTACCTCTACCTCTATATACATGCACATATATAATGTGTCTTTAATGTATTTGTATCTAAGCTTGCCAAACGAGGATTAAACATTGTTCTGATCAGTCGCTCGGAAGAAAAGCTTCGCAGCGTTGCCAAAGAAATAGGTGAGTTACAAAGTGGAATGAAGAGGAAAAAAAAGCTTCTCAAAGAAGTAAAATCTGTCATCAGAACAAAGAAAAATTGACCACATTTCCACAGGTTGGAATTTGATAAACCATAATGTTTTAAACTGTCATGAACCATATTTGCATATATATTGGCAAAATGATGGTCTGATATATTCAACTCAATTGTAATCCATATTTAATCTGTTTGTTCTTTTAGCCAGACTAGTCTTTTTGTGGGAAAAACTATGTATTATTTTTAAAGAGTAAAAAGAGCATAAATCAGCTTTGTACTGTTTGTTTGTTCCAGAGTCTCAGTACAATCGACAGACACATGTGATTCAGACAGACTTTACAGAAGGCCATTCCATCTACCCAGTTATCGCACAACAGCTAGTGGGGCTGGAGATCGGAATTCTGGGTAAGATAATGATCAAGAATAATATATACAATGCAGTGAGGATGGTGTAAAAGAATTAACTGAATTTTGACAAGCCTTATTGACATAGCTGAAATGTTTTTCTTTTCTGGGTCCAAAAACCTTGTAATTTAGTTTAAAAAATAATATTTTTGCTACTGTACCACCTTCTATATAACAAACATTTGTGAAGAATTCAACTCTAAACTGCTAAATGTGGACTATAAGGCACTGAGGTTTTATATTAAAAATATATATAACTTTTTTATATATATATTTTTTCAGTTAAGGTGCAATGTGACAAGTACTATACAAATAAAATTGGAAATTTAAAATAAATGTCAGCTACTCCTTTTCTGTGTTTGGTCATTCTTCCCCCATATTTTACTTTAAAGAGCTGTTAAATAATATAGAATAAATAATCATCATCATCACCTCTAGGTGTTTAGGAGCAATAGTATTTACCTCTGCCTCATTATTTCAGTGTAACTAGCTGGGGCAAATACCATATAGGACTTTTTTATGTGTAAATATTAGCAGTAATGTAATAATATATTTATCTCTGTAAAGTCACAGATGCTGTTTCCCCCCCGAGCTTATTTTCTATGGTGTAATGTCCATTTTTTCTTCCATGCTATCAACAAGTAGGATAATAAAATACAAATCAATAAATAGTTGAAGATAGGTGTATAAATTATTGATTTCTTCTCTTCTCCCTATAGTGAACAATGTAGGTATGAACTACATTGGGTTTCTGGCAAATTTTCTGGATGTTCCTGATCCAGACCAGGTCTGAAACACCTTTCCTACACCACACAGCTTGACTTTATTGTAATCTGAATCCATTGCATGAGGGAGTCTACAATATAAAGTATTTTCTTCTGTTTCCAGAGAATCACACAGGTGATAAACTGCAACATGCTGTCTGTCACTCAGGTAAGAATATCTGTATGTGAACCTGTTTACACATGGTCTGTCATACAATATATACTTGGCTATAGATGGATATGGATGTAACAGTGGATGTATATTATATAGATATAATCCAGTATTGTCTTTACTGTTACTTTTGATAAATATAATGCATTCTTGCTGAATAAAACTATTTCTTTAAAAAAATCTTACTGACTCATTTCAAAGAGATTGGGAAGATCAGTAAGATTTCTTTTTCTTACATAAATTGTTTTATTCAGCAAGGACGCATTAAATCGATAAAAAGTGACAGTAAAAACATTTATAATGCTACAAAAGATTTATATTTCAAATAAATGCTGTTCTTTTGAACTTTCTATTCAACAAATAATCCTGAAAATAAAAAGATTAGTCATGGTTTCCGCAACTATTTTTAACATTGATAATAATAATAAATGTTTTTAAGCATCAAATCAGCATATTACAGTGATTTCTGAAGGATCATGCGACACTGAAGACTGGAGTAATGATGCTGAAAATCCATGCCATCACAGGAATAAATTTTAATTTAAAATGTTTTAACTGTATTTTGGTTTAATAGAAAGGCTATGAAAAAGGCCCTCATAACATATCTTTGTATATAAAATGTTACATTGATCTGTGATTCTGATACCGAAAAGAGTTTGGTGGCAACGACAACAGTGATGCTGATAATAATGTTTTTTTTTTTGTAGATGTGCAGACTCATTTTGCCAGGCATGGTTGAAAGGTAAACCCGCAGCTCTGATCTTATCTGTTCGATTATGAAAACGGTGTTTATGCTTTAACTGAGGGCTTGTGTTTACTCTCAGGGGAAAAGGCCTCATTATAAACATATCATCAGAGGCTGCCTCTCAGCCTCAGCCAATGGTGTCAGTGTATTCTGCCACTAAGGTACAACGTTGTTACACACAAACCACATTTCACATCTATATTTGAATAAAATACAACCTTGCACAAACAAAGTGACTAATGAGTGTGTCTTGCTCTTCTCTTACACCCAGATATTTGTTACATATTTCTCTCGCAGTCTGCATGCAGAATACAGGTCAAGAGGAATCACGGTTCAAGTAAGTCCAGTGCTAGTAAACATCTTGTATAAACACTGTTTGCCAAACATTGATGTTATTTCTCTTCCTTTGTCCAGTGTGTAGCCCCGTTTATAGTCTCCACAAATATGACTCATAACGTGCCGGTGAATCCACTGGTAAAAAGTGCTGCTTCTTTTGCTAGAGATGCTCTGAACACTGTAGGTTACACAACGTATACAAGTGGATGTTTAACTCATGCACTGCAGGTAAACACCACACACAAAATCAGTTTGTACAGTGTGGGAATGCAGCTTTTATACCATTTTTTTTATCCTCCTCAATACACAGTTTGTACTATATAAAGATACAGGGTTGTGAGATCATGTAGACATTTTTATTTTATAAAAAAAAAAAAAAAAAGAAAAAAAAAAAGTAAAACATGTAGAAATCTGAATATGTTATAGAAAGATAACTTACCATCCATTGTTGTTTCAGCACATTGCTCTGACCATTTTTTTCCCGGGCTGGCTGCGTCTCACGTCCTTTTGTGTAAAACTCATGGCAAAATTCGCTCGTACCATTGAACCGATAATAAAGGAGAGGATGGCACAGACAAACAATAAACAGGACTGACACAAACCCATGGACCACAGAGATGTACATAACACACAAACATATGCCTAATGATATTAATAACTATACACACAAACGGTTTCTACTGCAGTGACAGGTAATCAGATGCAGTGTAACAACAGTGACAAAAACACCCACGTCTACATTTTCTGTTAAGTTGGCAGGTCTAAGGTCTATGTACAGTTAATATGTGTGTATTTGTGAAAAGGGTCCATAGTTTGATACTGCTGAACCTGTTTCCTATACAGAGTTCAATGACATTTACACTAAGCTGGGTAAGAGGTCTGGTAAAAAGAGGTCACTTATGCTTACTAAGGCTGTGATTATTTGATCAAAAATACAGTAAAATTGTGAAATATTACAATAATACAACTTTTCTATTTGAAAATATGACAAATTTGGAAAAAAATTTTTAAATGTAATTTATTCTTCAAAGCTGAATTTTCAGCATAATTACTCCAGTCTTCACACGGTCACATGATCCTTCAGTAATCATTCTGGGTTCCAGAAGTAAATGTTTTCAAAAGATTTTGAACGATAACTTGTACACCTTTAAAGACAGATTTACTGTGAGCAACAAGGTTGTATAGTTTGTAAATAAATTCCAGGTGAAAAACTACATTAGCCATGATGCTGTACAGAAAATAACACCAATCAGAGACGAACAAAGCAAAACGCTCCAAAATAGCTCTCTAGCTCCGCCCACTCCCATGAAGCACTGCGATCTCCCTATGCTCTCAAAATACCAAAATTTGTATATATGCATATTTTGCAATAAACTTAATATATATATAAATATATATATATATATATATAATCAGAGTTTTATATTTCTCCATCGTTTTTAATTCGATTATGCAGTTCGCAATGCTTCATGGGATTGTAGTTCTTTCCCCTCACTAAAACCGTTAAGTACACAGTCTTGTACCTTTGTCGTGGCTTATAACTCTTTAACAAAGACTATGTGAAAATTTTTAATTGTAAAACGTTTTTTTAATTTTTTTTATTTGGAAATGTGAAAAAGAGCCATAGGACAGGACTGGAACACATTACCTACTTTATAATAGCTAGTTTATATTGTAGGCTATTTAAATACTTAATGTACTTATTGATTTTCCATAATGTGACATGAACACACTCTAGTGTGGAATAGAATTATAATTTCAGCATAAAGAAAGAGTCAATGAAGGAAAAAGATGAAACTGAAATGTTTTGTTTAATCATTTAGTCTTCGGTTTACAAACTCTACATTTAGTCATATGATTAAGCTATTGCATATACAGTGCTAGCTAGTGCTGGGTAATTGCAGTACATCCTAACTGAACTTCCTGTTGAGCTAAATTGTCAACCAAAGATCATGAGTGTATACTGTGATTGTATGAATGTATTTTTGAAAGTATATTAATGTTAATGATGTGCCTTAACAATTTCTGATTTCTAAATATTCCAGATTCTATGTAAACTGGATTGTGTAACGCAATTTTTACATACTTGAAGCACTGTTAAAAAACATTTTTTATACAATTATGCTAAATAAGTAATTCCATTCTGTATACAGAAGACCTCAATTGTTGTACAGCTATGATAAAGGCCTGATATTCTTGGGCTTCTGCATTGTTTTTTGTTAATGCTAACAAATTAACACATGCGCAAATGTGCAAAATATTCAAGTATTATTTATAGCCAGTGTCCCTTTTCAGTTCCCAAAGACCAGCACAGACTCAACACAAACATCATCATCCTCTCAGACCAATCAGATGCCATTCATGACCTCTCACCTCTGCCTTCAGCCAGTCAGAACATTCATAAGTACAAAAGGCATTTGAACTGTAAAAACGGCAAGAAACACACAAAATCAACAGGGTGCAAAGACAACAAAAGGTCAGGGGAATTCCATGAGCCCCACAATATGAAAACTTACTAATGAAAACAGGTGCACAAGAAAACACTTTCACTCTTTCCCCCTGCTTTCTCATACAAGCACACACAAAATGTAATAATAATAAATAGCATGTCTGTCTATATGATTATCCAGTACATACACCATGAATGCACAAATCCATAGTAAGAACTCATCGGAAAGCTGGGAACAGCATTTCTGCCATCACACCAAACATGACCTAAACCCGTGAGGACTCCTCATTGGCCTGCAAGCTCTAACTGGGTCAAAATGGGTTCAGAGGTGAAAAAGCAGAAATGATTAACAAAACGCTCAAACAGTGCATCACAATAACAGAAATTGAGTGAACAGGCTCACTTTGCCCTATTAGTGTGCCAACAATAACCATATCTCATTTAATCTCTCTCATTTAAACTCTTTCCATCCTAATTAAAGTCAATGTTATTTTTCCCATACAGTGTCTTGCACAAACACAAAAACATGGATCATGGGATCCGTTTAAATATTTACATTTACTGTCTGACACTTGAATGAACATTAGCCATTCAAATTTATATGCAGACACTCTCTTTCCACGAAAACACTAAACTTTCTGTTGATGAGATCAAACGGAGACGCATGAAGAATGCAAAAATAACCGCACAATGCAACATGATTTGGCAGTATACACCCATAAACACAAGCCGTTTTCACCAATAACACACACTCCATCCATCTTTAAATAACATTTTTACCAAGAGCACAAACTCCACCCATTTATGATGGTCTTCAAAATCACCCACCATTTAAGGAGTACTTGTACACTTGTATTCCGCTCACTAACATTTCAGATTTTCCTCTCTATCACACAAACACGCTTTGGTTATTGTTTCTCAGAGCTCAGTACATGTGACTGGTGTGACCCCGTGAATCAAGAGAGCTGGGCCCAGGTCTCGCGTCAATGCGTCCAGCTGCGTCAGGTACTGCTGTGACAGCTCCGAACTGGAGGGAGGGTGGGGCAAGTACAGGAAGCGCACCGCTGCTGCAGAGCTGTGTTGCTTCAGCAGGGCATTCACAGCACACAGGAAGTCTTCAGACACTTTTTGCCTATCTGAGCTTTGCGCTCTAAACATGCGTGCCACGTTATCCCACGCCACAATCTTAATAGAGGCACGAATCCTCAGCTTGCCCAGCAACTCTCTAAATTGCTCCTCTTTAGCCAGCCAGCCCTGGTCTCCCGATTCAGACTCCACACAGACGAATATACGTAACCTCGCACGACGCCACCTGCTGGCCATGTTTAACACGCACGCCATCTGAAGCAGGAAAAGACTGCACACGTCTGCGTAACTGGCACTGTCAGGGGACAGTAGGTTTGTCGGCCACACGTCGATGGTGTCCACGCTGTCATTTCCCCTAATGCATGTTGCACCTTTGCTATCAGGAGGTAGCTGGAAGAAGTACCTGGCTAAACAAACATTCTTGCCCATTTTTATGGCATCAAGGATGATGCTCACATACTCCTCGGGCTGCAGCGTGCGAGGGCTCTCTGCATGGCGCACCAGTGGAAAATGAGCCTGTAAGGATGGGAGGTCAACCCCAAAATTATCCCCCTCACCCCTATCACCCTCGCAAAAGACAGGGTCCTGCAGGAAGTAGTCCTCTGGGTAGCAGTTGTCATAGAAGCCCAAGACCAGGGTATTAGGCTTCATACCTCCTGGAAAAGAAGAGAATACATAGAAGTATTGATACATTTTTAATAATTTGATTCTGATTGGAAGATTCTCTACATGTCATGTTATACAGAGCAGAGTTTCAAACTTATTTAAACTGTTCATTAAAAGAATTGGAACAGTTTTTGATTCACTAAAAAGAACCAGCTCACAGTAGTCATTCGTTTCTGAAATGGACTACACTGGTCGTGCTGTATGTTTTTGATTCACTAAAAAGAACCAGCATCAATCAGTTTAGACTGGTTGTGCTGTATCTTTATGAATCATTAATATGGACCAGCTCATAGGAGTCATTTGTTTGTGAAACAGTCTATACTGGTTTTGTGTTTTTGATGCACTAAAAAGAACCGGCCCACAAGAGTCATTTGTTTCTAAAATTCACTACACTGCATGTGCTGTATGTTTTTGATTCACTAAAAGGAACCACCAGAGTCAACTATATGTGAATCTGGCTACACCTGTCACACTGTGCAGTGTGTTTGTTTTTGCATGCAGCCCATGAGGACAAAAGTCGATGAAGTCGTTTCTTGTCCTTATTTAGCCATAGACTTGCCTTTCACACCGAGTACAGACAAAAAACACACTCACACCTCAAATGAAATGTTTAAAGGAATGCGATTTATCAGAAAATCTGTGAATGCCTAACTCCAAAAGTCTGAATGACACAAACAGTGATTGTTTACAGCCAACTCAAGATTATGTTCAGCCAGAGCCGATCCTGACCTCCCTGGGGCCCTAAGCAAAAATCTGTTAACACTAGAAGTGCCAGAATTCCATAACTACTAGAACTGCCACAAGCGGTCATTTTGACCGTTAGATTGCAATCTCTATATCTTTAATGATAAATACCCAATTGAGAGATTAATGCATTTATTGTATTATGATATCTTTTAAAAACAAAACAACACCAAACTGTACATTTAAAAAAGTTTAATTATAAATAATAATATCAGTAGCCCGTAATTATCGCATATTCACAACAGATAGGCCTAGCAATATTTCCATATCCATTCAACATAATTCAGAACAAGATAATAACAACTAAAAGTATCTTATTTAGATATTTTTTTGACAATGAGAGAGACAATGTCACGGTTTATGAATTCGCTGTCTCCTTTTTCGTCTTGTTGTGTGTGTGTGTGTGCGTGCGTGTGTGTGTGCGTGGTCGCTGATCAATGCAGCTGATCAGCACGCCCGCTCTGATCAACGCGCCAGCTGCAACTGATCAGCATTCGACCCTTTTTAGTGTTACTGTTGTCGCCTAGTCTTTGTCAGATCGTTGTGGATTTTTCCTGCGTGTTTGTTCCCTGCCTGTATCCGTTTTCCGTGTGTTATCCCGTGTTCAGCACTCCATGGTTCTACACGCAGCGTCCCTGTGCTGCCAAGGGCTTCATACCAGACATTTAAACACCTTAACTCTCCCAGCATCTGACCAGCTCTCAATAAACATATCTGTCATTTTGCAATTGAATCGTCTGATTATTTCCTAATAGACAAAGGTCAACCGCGAGAAATGTAACAAAAGAATACCGCGAAATTCAGTGCCGTCAATATGACCGTCTATGGCCGAAATAGGTAAATATGTTCATTTATTTTTTTGCCTTATGTGTAATTTATATTAAAAACATTTTAAATGAAAATACAGACACTTTTAGGAAAAGTCAGGTACCAGCAGGATTTTATTTATTTTTTCAACAAAGTTATTGCAGATATAAAATTCAAAACGGTCAAAATGACCGCCGTGGCCGTTCTAGTGTTAAGGGGCCTTCCTACCTGACCCATGAGCCATGTAAACCATTTGCCATTGCCACACAGTCACACCTGACACCCCAGTTCTCCCACAACAATCCTCCCTCGTTTAGTTAGTACTAATGAAAATGTAATTCCTGATATCAGAAATAGACATATTTTATATTAATATCAATCATTCACACTTTAAATAGTACAAATTTAATTATTGATATCAAAAATGCATTCTGTGAATGAATAAAAGCTAAAATGGTTTGTCATTGCTTGTCACTGTGTTTTAAATGATAAAAGCAATACTTGATACTTGATGGTTATTATTTATTGAGGGATGTGCATCCATATTGACCTGTATGTCCAGCCAATCAACATTTTAAATGCAATATAGTCAATGACAATAGATTGCTTTCCATCTTGCTTTATTGCAGAGTTGTAACTAAACTGACTTGGAGACTAGATAATCATTGTCTTGTTTTAAAAGTATGAGCGCCTATAATGAGGAGTGTCATCACGCCCATATTGTACTGGTTACTGGTCCCCATATATGTTTTACTGGAAAGTGCACGTTTCATTTCGTGCATGCGCATATGAACTCATGTTAACGCGCGACGTGGTTATCTTTTCCGAGCTGCAGTTTATAAACAAACACCGTTGCCAAACGTAATCTCATGAAAGTGCGTATCTATACCACGAATTTCATTTCTCGTGCTATTTATACGCCAAAATGTTTTTTTGCGTGCATATGCTTTGCACTGTAAATCTCTTGGGTAGGATTAGGGGTGTGGAGTCCGTGCATTTTACACGCCAAAAAGTGCGTATCATATGCACGCGAAAACTGCGTAGGCCTATCATATGCACGCAAAAACTATTTTTGGCGTATAAATGGCACGAGAAATTAAATTTGTGGTATAGATACGCGCTTTCAATTCACATGGTGTTTTTCTCAGTCTTTCTTTTCGTGACCAGAAGGATAGTTCCGCTTAATTATCTCATCGATGTTGTAAACTTTGATTGACGCGCTTTGACACGAGGGGGAGGCGGGGCCTTGAGTAATTTGTGGGGCCCTACGCAACTTGCGTAGTGCGCGTATAGGGAGGATCGGCTCTGTGTTCAGCTAAACTGAAGGAAGTGCTTTCTGGCTCTGAGTCAAAAAGATAACCTGATCAGGAAATGTCTCACCCAGTCCAGTGATGCGGAGCAGATGTTGAGTGCCCTGTCTGACGGAGGGAGAAAGAGTCAGATCCACAAAGGCCTTTACCCCCAACTTATCCACCAGACTCAACCAGAAATTATACTGCGGCTGCACTGGGTCAGAGGGCAACATGTCTGCAAGAGAGATTACGTTTGGTCATTTGCTCCATTCCATTGTTAGTGCAACAACATGATAAAGTAAAATGAGTTTACAGGAGGAAGAGAGGAAGACTGTTTAGTATAATAAAGGGATAGTTCAAGCAAAAATGAGAATTCTGTCATCATATAGACATTTGTCAGTAAGAAGATATTTTGAGATATACATTTTTTTTTAATAAGAAGTGTTTTTTGTCCATCCAATGGAAGTCAATGCGAATCAAAATGGTTTGGTTATCGACATTCTTCAAAATATCTTCTTCTATGCTCCGCAGAAGAAAGAAGTCATACAGGTTTGGAACGACATAATGAGGGTGAGTAAAGTTTGTGGATGAGCCCGAGTAACCAACCAAACTGACTGAAATTAACAGATTACAATGGAAACATTTACATTAGCTGCAAGAATGTAACCGAAACAAAACAACCTAAGGTATTTTGGCGTATCCGACTTCCCTGAAAAGTGTAAAAGCCCTGTGACTATGTGATGTTATCAAAACATGGCTCTGTTTGTTTGAGCATCCTGACCAGACCCACACAGCAACAATGACCCCATTTACATGAACTCAGGGAATGTTTATGCAACTGCACATAGTTTTTGGAGAAAGCAGCATTCCAAAACATCAGGTATACATGATCGCTGATTTTTTCTTTAAGAATCGTAGGAAGCAGTTAAAACGTCTGGATTTCAGCCAGAGATCATAAAAACACATAAGTGGTAACTAGCAAGGGTAGAAGGGTAGAAACTGGTCTATGGGTCTTGTGAAACTTGGGTTCTCTCATAAAGTTGTCGCCTGAACCTAATACCCCTTTTGTCCTACCTAGATCTCCGATCTGCACATGTCCAAGAACAAACAGCCCTCCTTTCTTCAGCTGGTTGACAAAGCAGATGAGCTGACAGGAGGAGCGTGGGTTCGCAACCATCAGTAAGACCTGAGGCCGCCAGAACTTCACATGATCCTTACGGGAGTCTAACATCAGAAGGTACTTCCTCACCTGAAAGAGCACAGAAAGATTGTCTTATAGATTTAAAGTTTAGTGTATTCACATGTGTTTTGTGTGCGTGTGTATGTACCTGATGGAAGATTAGTGCTTGGCTGATGTAGCCCCAGCTGCTGGTGGGAGAGCGGTAGTGCAGGATCAGCAGGAGGAGCAGCAGCAGGACGATACTGGCCGAGGAATACACTGGGTTTATCACGAACATCATTACCACACAGCTGACAATACCCAACAAACATGTGTGCCAAGAGAAAAACTGAAATGTGGGCCTGGAAAGAAAGAAGAATTCAAATATAGAGATAAATACTTGTACTACTGTTCAAAAGTTTGGGGTTATTACGATTTTAAGAAATCAATACGAAAAGAAAGAAATCTTTTATTCCGCAAGGATGCATTAAATTAAAAGTGACAGTAAAGATTTCTATTTCATGCTGTTCTTTTAAACTTTACACATAATATTTCTGTTTTTACTGTATTTTTTTTGATCCAATAACCGCAACCTTGGTCAGCAAAAGAGACTATAAAAAACATATTACCGACCCCAAACTTTTAAAAGGTAGAGTACATTTACAAACTAAAGAATTCACAGAACATGTCCTTTGAATGATTATCAAAAGCAAACTGAAACACCAACTCAGGGTAAAAAAAACTATAAAAAGGTTATTATTAGACACAAGTTAAAAATAAGAGATTCTTACATTGTAAGAAAAAAAAGTCATGAAGTCGCAATTACAAGAAATACAGTTCCAGATGCAAGACATAGTCACATTATAACATATGAAGTCACATTGTGAGATATAAAGTCACGATTACCTTATAAGAAAACCACCCATACACACCCCCACACACACACCTGAAGTTTGGAGCGGAAGCCCATTCCAGAGCCAGACAGGCCAAATCAACCGCAGCATACGCCAACAGGTAAAATACTGTCACGATACCAGCAATCACATTCAGCTGTCCAGCAAACAGTGTACACTACAACACACAGACACACAAAATCTTAACAGACATACTCTTCATATTTTACGTGTCACAGAAATAGCATCCAAAGACATATGCACACAGCTCCCTGTACCTGCACCAGGCCCCAGGTGTAGAGCACAGACACCCATGGGTTCCCAGAGCTGGAGGTGACTGCAGCCGGAGCCAGAGGCAGACCTGAAACCATATCACACACACAGCACAGATCAACAAACCCATGACACACCCCAACAGAGCAGTACTATCATCTCACTCCAGGATACTATTACACCATCATATCATAACAGTCTCCTCAAACTCAACCATGTAACTTAGTTACTGCGTCAATGGGTGGTTGACAGTTTGATTTCCTATATCCAGGGAATTATACTGTTAGGACATCATTTTATATGTTTACACTACCAGTTAAAAGTTTGGGGTCATTTTATTTTTTCAAGAAATTGATACTTTTATTCCAAAAAGATGCATTAAATTTGTCAAAAGTCAGAATAAGTACTTTTACACTATTACAAAAATTTCTATTTTGAATAAATGCTGTTCTTTTGAACTTTCTATTCGTTATAAAATCCTGAAAAACTGTACATGAATGAAATATTTTTAATGATGCTGAAAATTCAGCTGTGCCATCATATAAATACATTACATTTTAAAATGTAATAAATTAAAAACAGCTATTTTCAATTGTAATACATTTCACAATATTTTACTAATTAATAATAAATAAATAAAATCGTTTTACTGTATTTTTGGTCAAATAAGTGCAGCATTGGTGAGCATAAAATATTTCTTTCAAAAACATAAACAAATCTTACTGACACCAAACATTTCAACTCTAGTGTATAATCATAATCAGATAGTAATTTAGTAAGAGTCTTGGAAAAAGTGTGTTACATTAAATCATACAAGAATTTAAAACCGTGTTATATGAGCCATGATAAATGAGCCACACTAAGACAAATATATTCTTATTCTTTTTCTTTTATGCAAACAATCTGAAAATAGTGAACTGATGTTTCCTATTTGTACATGCATTATATTTTGAATAAATGTGTACTGGTGTTTTGAAGAGGCTTGCATTCTAGATATCTTACATTTATGCTATTTTACACTTGTTTATTCTGTAAAAATAACTATGCTTTACATAACTTTTCTACAATAAGTTTCTATATATTAATAATCTGTAACAATTCTGTCACCACGATCCCACTGTGTGACAAATAATTTTCTGTGAATGATTTTTTAAATATGTTTTGACAGGAACATTTTTGAAATTTTCATAAATAAATTCTCAATAAGAATAGATTGTTTTTTGATTCTGTCAATTAACCGATTTCAGTAGAAAATGATTGAAGGAAATGAGCATGTGTTATGATTCTTTTAGTTAAAATGTCCTTTTTTTACCTTCTTGCACAGAACATATGACCTCTCACACCATATAACAGCCTATAAAATGTGACAAAAATGAAGCAAAACAAAATATTCACTGATCATTTTTCTTAGGAACCATGAATACCGTTTTCCAAGTATTGCTTACTAATATTTGCCAATAACACTTCTTGTGGAGATGTCAACAACCATACCATATATATCACCATCTCAGTATCAGTTTCCAGTCTGAAATTTGTCCCTTAAAAAGACCAAACCCTCAAATGCACACTAACCAAAAAGCTGGTCCAGAGCAAGAGCGTGGAGGATTCGGGAAGCTCCTATCATGGAGCACATAGCAGCTGAGAGAGACGCGCAGTACACCCCAATCGTCACCAACGGAGGCCACACGTTCACACGCTGGAACACTGCATAATCATTGATCAACAACAACCTGAGAGAGAGAAACCAAGAGAACGACAGGAGGAATAAAGGAGAGACGAATGAGAGGAAAAATAAAGCATTGTGTAAACGCATAATGTTTTTCCATGTGGCTTGAGTGTCGTTAACCTGTCACAGGTAGAGCTCAGGAGCAGGAAGAGAAGCAGGTAGACAGAGAAGGTGTAGGACACCGCTATGATGGTCCCTTTAGGTATTGACTCACTGGGGTTCTTCAGCTCACCTGAGGAAGTGGACAAATCAAATGACATGTTTTTGAAACTCATCTGTCATAAGAGTTGTTATGAGTATTGTAAAAGGCAACACAAACACATCAGCAACCAAAAAGAGAATCCAAGTATTTAAAAATTAAAGTAACTGCGTGAATGGTGTATGTGGTTTTGTACCCGACATGTTGGCTCCTGCCATGATGCCTGTGCAGCTAGTGAACATCACAGCAAATACAGTAGCGAAAGACATCATTGTGTTGGTACTGTAGTCCAGAGAGTAGCGCGCTACAGGAGGAGACATATGAACAAAATTCATGCCAGTGCAGTAATTAAATAAATTAATGAAAAGAGCTTTGCTTCTGCAAACTATTGTGCGTTTGTTATTGGAACGGTTTTATGACTTTAGTGGAAAACTACATTTTATTACTGTACTTGCATGTACTTGTACCACACTACAATAATATCAACACCGTGGAAATTCATGGAGAATTTGCTGACATGTTTGTACATAGTTCAAGGATAACTTTCTGTTTCTGCTGTTGGTCTCTGTACTACTGTACTTATAATAGTCATGCTCAAAAGTTTTTTTTTTTTTGTGATGGTTGTTCTTGAGTCCCTTGTTTGTCCTGTGCAGTTAAACTGTCCAACGTTATTCAGAAAAATCCTTCAGTTTCCCAGCATCTTTTGCATATTTGAACCCTTTACAGCAGTGACTGTATGATTTTGAGATACATCTTTTCACACAGTGGACATTTAAGGGACTCAAAAAACACAACTATTAAAAAAGGTTCAAACATTCATTGATGCTCCAGATAGAAACACAATGAATGCAATGCTCCATGTCTCCTGGATTAAGTTCAATTTACCTTGATCTTCAAATTCAAAAAGTCCCCCCCCCCCCCCTCCCCCTCAGGACAGTACTAAATATAAAATAACATGCATTTTGTATGATCCCTCTTATTTTGTTAAAATAACAAAAGTCTTTACTATTACATTTGATCAACTGAATATATCTTTGCTGAATGAAAACATTAATTTCTTTAAAATCCTTGCTGAACTCAAACTACACTTATATGCAAAAACTCATTATAAACTTCCTTTACTTGTAAATCAAAATGTACTTTTGAGGAACGTTCAATTCTTCTGTCAAATGTTTGCCTCTTTGTTTGCGTTTTTTAAAATATCATTAGAAAAATATAAATATCCCACTGTCCAATATACCTTTTTTTCCACTAAATGTTTCATCTAACAGACAGGACTCCATAATTGTGATCAGTCTCATTTGTCTTCGAAGTACCGTATTTCCCGCACTATAAGGCGCACCGGATTATAAGGCGGACCTTCAATGAATTACCTATTTTAGAAAAAATTTCATATATAGGGCGCACCGGATTATAACAAGAGGTCCTCGCTGCAGCCTGTAGCACGATGACGTAGCTGGATGGTCCAATACGTAGTGGATGGAGGTGTGTTTTGGTGACGTCGTAGACGCATGCGCACTAGTCAAGTCAAGTCAACTTCATTTATAGCGCTTTTAACAATGTAGATTGTTTCAAAGCAGAGATAAACATATAATTTAAGGTAAATTAGATTGTTTTGGCTTTATAGCGGTTCTTAAATAATGTTTAAGAACCTGTGATAAATGCTGATGGCGTTCATATGCGCATTAAGAATTGATTCTATAGTTAGAGTAACGTTAGGTGTAGAGAGAGTAGAGAGTTGGTGAACGATCGCACGTGCTTTGATCTTCCAAGAAGAATAAAGTTAAATATAAATGGTCACTTGAGGATGGAAGCTCTTTTCCGCCACCGAATAAAACATTTTAAAATATATAATTGCGACTTTTTCCTCACAATTGCGAGCTTATTTAACGCAGTTCTGACTTTATATCTCACAATTCTGAGAAATAAAGTCAGTATGCAAGATGTAAGTCTCAATTGCATGTTATAAAGTCAGAATTGCGTGAAATAAAGTCAGAATTGCGTGCTATAAAGTCAGAATTCTGACTTTTTTTCTTGCAATTCTGAATTTATAATAGGCCTACATAATTGGGAGTTTACGTCTCCCAATTCTGACATTTTTTCTCATAATTGTGACATATAAACTCGCAATTGCGAATTATAAAGTCAAATTCTAAGGGAAAAAATGACTTATTTTTTAACCTCAGAATAGTTTAATATCTCACAATTCTGACTTTAGGCTATAGCCTAACACGCAATTGCGACGTATCATGCAATTCTGACTTTATATCTCCCAATTGGTATTATAAAGTCGAAATTCTGACTTTTTTCTCGCAATTCTGAATTTATAACACATAATTAAGATTTTATATCTCCCAATTCTGACATATTTTCTTAGAATTGTGAGATATAAACTCGCAATTGCCAGTTATAAAGTCACATTTTACCTCAGAATAGTTCTCTCACAATTCTGACTTTATAACACACAATTGCGACTTTATATCATGCAATTCTGACTTTAGCCTATATCTCCAATTTGCGTAGGCTATTATAAAGCCAGAATTTCAAGTAGCCTCGCAATTGCGAGTTTATATCTCATAATTCTGACTTAATAACACGCAATTGCGACTTTATATCACGCAATTCTGACTTTATAACCTGCAATTGCGACTTCAATTCTGAGATAAAAAGTCAGAATAGTGAGATAAAAATTTACCTTTTTTATTTCTCACTCTGTGGCGAAAACAAGCTTATAGCCTACCATATGTATTGCAGACACTGAACAGCAAATTAAGAGGAACCGTAGGCTACAGATCACTGTGGAAAAATGAGTAGGCTATAGCCATTAAAGAAGGAACTCTTACCAGGCAAAATATCAAGCACTTTTTCTTTTTCTTTTTTTTTTTACATCTGACAAGATTTATTTTCTTGATGCTGTTATTATTTTTGCATTTTCCCTTGAATGTGTACTGGTATTTTAAAATGTTTACAGACTGTATTGTATTGTACCTTTAAAATTACAAAGACAATTAGGCTACTTGATTCATTTTCGCTTCCACTCAACAGCAAATCTGACCTGAATAAAATGAAATGGCTTAAAAAAAAAAATTCTATATACACGCATAAAAAAAAAAAACTTGAGGTGCTGAGGACATGCTATTAATCTATCAAATTTAGGTTTAAAATCATGTGATTTAAAATGTTGTAAAATTAACTATTTTGCATAGCCTATGTGTGAAACTCGGATAAGCATCCCATTTATGTAAATAATTACTTATTTATCAATAATTACTTATAACTATTTAGCAGTACTATACTACACAGGTTAGAACATCATCTCAGTACAATATTGAGCATGCATGTCACTTAAAACCAGCGCATGCGAATTATAATCAGAGATCGACACTGCGCATGCGTATATGACGTCAGCAAAACACACCTCCATCCAATACGTAATGGACCATCCAGCTACGTCATCGTGCTACAGGCTGCAGCGAGGGGTGTCTCGATTATAAGCCGCATGAGATACTGCAGTCAAACGTTTGACTGGGTTTGCGTTATGCATCCACTAGATATGCTGTAGTACCCCAGAGTGCAGTCTGGACGATGGGGCGGGGCGACACTTTTAGGCGGGGCGACACGTGTCGCTCCGCCCATCCCCAATTTAATTGGTTTATAATACCGCAATCTTATTGGTGTAAACCATAGAGAGAAAGAGTTGCGACACGCTTTGATGTCGCCGCGACGGCTGTCACGTGGTTCATGTAAGCTCCAATAGTTCCAAAACGTACGCGGGCTGTCATGTTCTTCTATGGACAGACAGCAGCGATTGCATTATTAAACGGTAAATATAAAATAAAACACACACCCAAGTACTTTTTAAGCTGTTATTGCGTTTTGTTAATGTCAGTTTTGCATTTGGAGAGGCAGGGTGACAACTTAGATAAGTTTTAGGCTATATTTTTGGAGGGAAACGCTAGTGTTCATGTTCGCATGGGTAGTAATAGCACTGGCTTTAGCGGCTCTAACTTAACTTTTCCATGTCATTCATCTGATGATGGACGTCTCATGATATTTATTTTAGCACAACTGGGCTGTATTAGGCTATTGATTCCCGTGATCTTGCTTATAAATTCCGCTTCGTGATCACGCAAAGAGGTCTGCGGTCCGTTCAGAATTCCAACCAACATAAAATATAAATAATTACGCTGTGCATGTACAAATGAATGATTTAGGAGGGAATAGACTGCTCCCATAACGTAGAAAGCAACGACTATATACAGCAATGTTCGGTAAATATTCAACCGAAAAATATTCTTCATAAAATTAAACCGGAGAGATAGTTAATGAGTGAATTAACTATGTTCCTAAATACATATAAGCACATGCATAGCCCTAACCCATTTAAATAAATGAATTGTGTGTGTGTGTGTGTGTGTGTGTATGTATATAATATTATATATAGGCTATATATATATATATATATATATATATATATATACATATAAAATATTATTAAAAATATTATATATTATATACATCAGGTTACCAGTTAGCTAACGTTAGTGAAGTGTTGGTCACGTAAGCTATCGCTGCAATTAACCTATTATCTTCCAATAAACATTTACTAAAACTGGCTACATAAAATATAACTACAGACTAGATTCACGAGAGGTCGGCTAATGTGTGTAAAAGTAAAAAATACAGTAATTTCATTCATTTACCAGCGAACGTACTTCGGAAGCACTGAAAATTAATGGGGTTCAATGGGGGAACTATCAGTGTTTGGAACTATTGGCTGCTCCACGACACGCGGTACTATCGCATTCCAAAGTTCCTATGGCGGTCTATGGGAGTGTCGCAACTCTTTCTCTCGTGTAAACGATTCAGGTCTGAGCATGCGCATTCCTTTATGTACGATTTTGTGAATGATTTGGCCGTATCAAAGAAATATTAAATGCTCACTTTAATCGTATCTTATTATCAGTTTACCATGGTAATTTTTGTTAATATCTATTTGGCTAATACTTTATTATACTTAAGACACAGTATAGATTAAGTTATTGTTTAAAAACGAACGCTTGGTGACGTTACTTGTACTTCAGGGAGATGTTTTACATTAGATTAGTGCGTCATTCACTGGCTTCTTCATATTTCTATCAGGATCGGTGGATCAGCACAAACTCGGGATTTTACGCAAATGATGATATTGACTGTAAGAATGTAAGCAGCTGATTTTAAATTCTAAAGCATGACCGTTTTTTGTTGTCTGTTTTTTTAACGAGATTATCCAATGCTTGCATTATTTGGTACAAAGTGCAAATAAAATGTTTAATGGCAAACACTTTTACTGGTTGATTACCTGTTCATACAATATGAGGTCCTATTGGTTCTGTAAAGACCTATGTTATATTTTTTAGTGTCAACCGGTTATGTACGACTGTCTATCTGTGACTGTGACATCAGGTATTAAAAATCCAATTGTTTATTCATCCACCATGGCATTGCGTGTTCATGTTCATGTAGGCTACTGAATAAAAATGGTTACAAATATTAACACTCACATATAGGCTAGCTGCATAACCATAAAAAAAACACACTGCTATAAATCTGTGCAATTATAATAGGCTGTAATAAAATAAATAAAACACCCAGCAGAGAAGTGATATGAACATGTAGGCCAATTGCTTAAATAGCCTACATTGTAATATTTGCTATAGATCAACATAACATCTGTTTTAGTAAAAAAAAAAAAAAAAAAAAACTTTTTTTTAAAAATTTATTTTCACATTGCAGCGTTGCACGGATTTTATTCCCATTGTACGCACATAACCCAATGGCCAGGGCTTGCTATTTGGTAGCCTGTCTTATTTGTCACCGTGGTTTTGCTTTAAAATAAAATAAAACACACTTTCGGATTTATCCTTTGTTTTACTGAAATACAGGGAATTATAATAATTTGTGTAAAATCCCGAGTTTGTGTTTATTCACTGATCCTAATGGAAAAACGAAGAAGCATAAACGAATGATGTAAAATTAAGGAGCTCTGCATGACATGCGGAAAAATATTGTCTAAATCAGCCCACATAGAAATGATCTCTCCTTTGATCTGCCAGTAATTTCATGCAGTCATGCTCATTGCCCACCAAAAGTGGCACTGACTTAGGCTATCTGCAGGGTAAATTAATATAGTATAGGCTAAATCTCAAACAGTGTATTATTTATCAGCAACATATTTTGTGATATCGCCAAGCCATAAAACTGCTCAATATTAAAGCTTACAATATGACTTTTTGTAAAGCTGCTTTGAAACGATGTGAATTGTGAATACATTTTGACAGTAACTTCATCTAACTTGATTCGTAAGTTCATCAAAACATTATCCAATTGATCGTTACTGAAATCGCAATGGTTATCACTTAATATAGTACGGCCAAACAGCGTCATAGATAATTCATAAACTCGTACATAAAGGAATGCGCATGCTCGTGCCTCAAGCTTCTATGCCAATAAGATTGCTGTATTATAAACCAATAAAATCGGGTGTGGGCGGAGCGACACGTGTCGCCCCACCTAAAAGTGTCGCCCCGCCCCATCGTCCAGACTGCACTCTGGGGCTACTCGATATGCTAAAGGGAACGTCAACAAAACAGTCAGATAAAGTCAAACTTTATTAAGCGTTCTGACAACTCCGTTCACTCCCATGGTAACGTTGTTCAAACGTTAAAGGAGAACTCCGGTCAATTTTAACATTGAGCTCATTTTTTTGTAAATTTGGAGTGCTGTCAGTACGATAACAACGACAAAAGCCGACCATGTTATCCTCTTTTTAAAATTTGCACCCTGTTGACTTAAACGGGGCAAGTTTTAAACCTGCTTTTAGCCTCTTAACAACATTAATGTGTCATTACAAGTGCAAAGCCATGTGAGTGAACACGTTGAATCTGACGGCAGTAAATGTGAAAGATATGAATAAAAATTATGTTTATTCAGCCAGCTCACATACCCGTATTTTCTTCCTGTTTTCGGTCTAAGTCCACAGTAGGCGATTGTCGAGTGTGTCAGTCCGATAGACACAGACTGTCAGCTGTCAGCCGATGACGGTGCTGTGTGGTGTTCTGAGAATATCAGCTCAAATGGAGAGTTCGGATAGTTCATCCGAGACAGGAGGTTTGATCGCGCGCGCGCGAACTCTACAATCGACTACTGTGGACTTCGACCGAAAACAGGGTATGTGAGCTGGCTGAATAAAGAGATTATTCCTGCCTTTGTGAAAGCTCGGATCACAGTTGAGACTGATATATCAGCCCAGGCGTCCACGATCCATTGGCAGATAGTGGCGTAAGTCGCCCGGCGCTGTCTCCCCGTCTTGGTGAACGTGTGTTCACCACCCATATATAAGGCGCTCCGGATTATAAGGCGCACTGTCGTTTTTTGAGAAAATTAAAGGCTTTTAAGTGCGCCTTATAGTGCGGAAAATACGGTATTTTGAAATATAACTGCTAAAGAGCATCAATTGTCATCACCATAACAGTCAGTATCATTATTGCATTGATGATAATCTCACTCACGTCCAAGGTTGTTCTTTAATGTAGTGCCGTTGAAGCCTGTGTAGCTGGGGTTGACAGTGACGCTGTGGTTGTTGCCGTATGTGTGTGTGATGTTGAAGCGCTGTGGACTGACTATAAGGGGGCTGATGATGATGGAAATCAGTGACACCGTCACCACCAGCAGAATGATAAAAGAGGCTTTGGCGTAGATATGAGCACCGACCAGACACACCACCAGACATAGCAACAGCACTACAGAGGAGTACAACACGGTGTACCAGTAACCCTGCGGCAACACTCGTAGCCCCTGTGACACAGCAGAGCCTGGAGAGAGAAGAAAAGAGAAGCTTCGCTGTAAAAAAAGCTCTGTATTACTGATTTCATTTGCTTTAAAGACTGTTTAGTACAGTGTGCTTCAATGCAGCGCTCACCAGGATCCTTCCCGAAGACGTCCAGTATGGCCTCCACCAGGCCGAGTACATAGACGCCACATGCACATACCTTCGCCAAGTAAAACATCAGGCCGATACTGCCTCCAAACTCTGGCCCCAGAGAACGACTGATCATGACTAATACTAAAGAGTTAAATGTCAACAACAACAATATACAAACACTCATGAACAACAAATTCCAATCGGAAGGGAGCATCCATATGCCTTTCTCACTCTGAGGGGCAAAGCCCTTGAAGGGGAGACTTTGGAGGGAGGAAGGCACCTGTTTGTCAAAATTTAGCCATTTGGAATGCACTTGGCAAAGGGAGCAATGAAAGACAATGTCATTTCTTCATTATCCTCACCTTAACCCTGGTTTCAGGGTTAAGGTTAGAGTTAGTCATTTAGTCGGGGGTAGGATTGCATTATATCAATTAATGCCCTCACAAAGATAGTCATACAAACTTCATATGAAATGCATGACGAAAATGTCAGTAATATATCACAAACAAAACAACTTAAAGGGTTAGTTCACCCCAAAAAATTAAAATTCTTTAATTAATTACTCACCCTCATGTTGTTCCAAACCAGTAAGACAAATTAAGATTATTTTTGATGAAATCCAAAAGCTTTGCATCCCAACATAGACTGCAACGTCATTACCACTTTCATGGCCCATAAAGGTACTAAAGACTTAATAAAGGTAAAATAGTCCATGTGACTAAAGTGGTTCAACATTAAAAGTACAATAGGTGATTCTCTACAAAACATTTTTTTGTTATGCTGTTTGAAAGTCTCCTCATATCCTGATAGCAATCACAATGTTAAGCGGTCTAAATGTATTATATATATATATATATATATATATATATATTTGCCTGTGGAAGTCATAGGACCATAAAATGTTCATTCACTTATTTAATTCCGAAATCTCTCGGATTTCATAAAAAAAAATCTTCATTTGTGTTCCGAAGAAACAGAAAAGTCTTACGGGTTTGGAAAGACATGAGAGTGAGTAATTAATGACAGAATTTTCATTTTTGGGAGAACCAACCGTTTAATTGATTCGGTTTATTCATTATCTTGAACTCCATAAGGAAATTGATTTTGAACGATAGCTTATAAACCTTTAAAGACAGGCCTACTGTGAGCTACAAGGTTGTTCATCCATGGTATCTGTTTCTGTTAAAGCCGTCAGTCCACATTATTTCAGCGTTTTTTTGTTTGTTTTGTTTTAATAATCGTGTTTAACAGTGGAATTCGTGGTGACTACTAAAAACTACATTACCAGAGAGTCAAAAAAACAACACACACCAAAATGACGCCCACTCCCATGAAGCATTGGGAATCGAGTCTATCTCCCTACGCTCTAAAAATGCTGACATGTTTGTATATATGCATATTTTTGCAATAAACTTAAAATGTATTGTTTTTATACATAAAATCAACATTTGTAAACGAGTAGTTTTTTTATTTCTCTATCATTTTAATTTGATTATGCAGTTTGCAATGCTTCATGGGATAGTAGTTCTTACCCTCAATAAAACAGTTAAGTACACAGTCTTGTACCTTTGTAGTGTAGTGATTCACCTCATAGCTGATTGGCTTGGTTCAGGGCTTATAACTCTTTAAAGGTGCAATGTGTCATAATTTTGAGTATCTATTAACAGATATGACATCCATAACTATGTTTTCAGTGGTGTATAAAGAACTCGCTTAATAAACCGTAATGTTTTTATTACCTTAGAATGAGACATTTATATCTACATAACAACGGGCACCCCCTTCTATGAAGGTCGACATATTGTGTCGACATGTTTCTACCGTAGCCGACAGCGAACAAACAACGCTACAGAGCGCGTTTCGTCACTACCTTGAAAGAGAAGCAGCAGAAATCTAGAAGCTAGCCATAGACACCGTGAGTAGTGACTTTTCCCTTGTCAGTGGTGTAAAATATGTAGTTGGATTGTTTCATGTAACTTAGTTCTTCTCCCTCGCTGTGTTATGGCTTTGCTATGTGGGGATAAATGTGCTGGTTACGGTCGTGAGACAGCTATTAGTACTCTTGTCATTGACCGTAAAACAGTTACAGGAATCACCAACCCGTCGCTGACATCTTGGAACTCGAGTCTGCGCAGTAGCGATTTCGGGACCAGACATGCGCAGTAGTGAGCAGGAAGTAAGCCGCGAAATCAAGGCCCCGCCCTCACTCTCGCGGAATCAATCGCAAGCACACGCTCCGGCACTTTAAAAAAAATTAATTATAGAAATGTATATATTAAATTTAAAGCTCCAATCTCCTCAGTCCTCCGAAGATCCCGAAAAAAAGTCTGTTGGTGCTTCAGTGACTACTTCGCTCAGAGAACCTGTCAATCACAGCTGTCAATCATGACGTCACACCACCGCACCAAACCGCACTTGCGATCGAGACGTTTTGGCTTCACTTTTCAGGGCTTGCTGCGCTGATTACAATCATGTCATTTTTGCCGCGCGCACCTTTGGGCTCATGCGGACGCATCGAGTTTAAACAAGGCTTCACGCTTTAACCAGCTCAGCCACAGTAACAGCTCATATTAGCCAGCTAAACTTTTACTACCCTGTCATAAAAATATATAGTTGCATAGTTTAGTGGTTCTTCTCCCTCGCTGTATTATGGGTTTGCCATGTGGGGAGAAATGTGCTGGTTACGTTTGTGAGACAATCAGCTGATTACTATTATTATATATTAAGACCCTTGATCCTCACCTGACTATGGCTTTGTAAACTTTATCCATGATGTGGTTTATAATGGACTGTGGTACAGAAACAGTGACAATGTTACACACTCTTAGCTTACTCTGGCTATTCTCTGCTGTCTCAGACGACGATATGTTTGTCCCGTTTTAGCCACTGTAGCTTCTTCGAAAGGGATGGGTGAGCAGTGGGCTGAGCCCTTAGTGCAACTCGCAACCGAACTGCTAGATGCCGCTAAAAATCACACACTGCACCTTTAACAAAGACTATTTTAAAATACTTATGGGAAAAATTAAAGAAAAAAAAAATTTCCAGAACCAGCGCCGCTGAAAAAGGGGGCGGGCACTGTTGCACTATTGCCCTTCAAAAAACAGCATTTGGAATTCACCCTGCAAATAGCACTCTATAAGCCAGAGAGATTGGTTAAGGATACAATAGGCCCCGCCCCCTTCCACAGCTCCATTAGTTGAAATAGCACATATTGACAGGATTGTCAATGAAATGATGAAGTAGGCCACACACAGCATGAGGAGACCATGGAGAAGACCGGCCTGGCCCACAACAAAACCTGAAACATAGACACTTATCAGAATTATTTATGCAAAAAAAACACACCCAGAGCCACACAGAGGGGAGTTATAATGTGATATACATCACCATATTAAAATGCTTTATAAAATCTCCTGCCATACTCTTCTGTCTTTTCCAATGTCACACTCACCTGTGCGAAGAAAGAGCACAATACTGAACATGGAGAGGATGGTGGGCACCATGACACCAAAGAAGGTGTTGAGTTTGCGGGGGTTTGATTTGGGGGATCCCTCTCCTGTCACTGCTGATCCACCCCTGGAATCTTCAGCATCTCCCATCATGCTGTACACCCCGTGAACAAGAAGAGGCGAGTGCTCGTTTGCCATGGTCTGAAAAACAGGAACCTACAGATAAAACCGTTTCCTGTTCAGTACAATCAAACAAAAAAAGACAAATAGATTTTTTAAACTTTTGTCAGCTATTGAAAGAGCTTTGACTGGTTTTATTATTATTGAAATATGCTAAATCTAAACTACTGTTCAAAAGCTTGGGGTCAGTAATATTTTTATTTTGCAAGGGCACACTAAATTGCTCAAAATGACAGTGAAGACTTACAATGTTAAACAAAAAATTTGCTTTCAAATAAACGCTATTCTTTTGAACTTTCAATTCATCAAAAAAGTGTGTATTTTTGTTGTTGTAATCTAATTATTATTATTTAAAAAATGGGTCAAAAAGCATAAATACAATTATAATAAAAAACAATCACAATGGTAATGTCAAGTTCATGATAATTGGATAAGGATATCTTATATTGGCTTTATGTTATTTTTTTTTACGGTTTACATTCAAAACATCTAACGTTAGCTGATTAATTATTTTAGAGCAGAGCATAACTCATTAAATCCCTTATAGAAATGTCAGTGGCTTAGTATTTTGTTAATTTCCATGGCTTTTTCAGGCCTGAATCAGTTTTCAAATTGCCCTAGATTTCAATGACAGTGGGAACACTGAAACCACAAGACAATGAATGTCTCATTGAACGTCTTATTTTTACAACAAATGTTGCATCGTTCTAGTAGCGGAAGTGCATGACAATGTAAACAATCCGAAATACGCGGTTGAAAAACAAATGTTAAGTCCTAAAAAGGTAAAAGGGAATAACCTGACTATAAAATACCCCGCTGCCATACAACAACAACATCCAAGTAGTTTGAATAAACTAGCAGACATTCATTCCAGAAAAGGCATCCGACATTTAGGAGAATGAGACATCTCCTTAAGCAGTTACAGACTATGCCTGGGCGTGTACGGTTATCATTCATGACACATAACGTTAACGGTAAAGTACAGTAGGGAGGTAAAGAAACAAACACAACCTACCTGTCGTTTATAAACAACAGCGGCGACGCCGATCTAAAGGCGGGTTACTTCCGCTTTTAGGAAGAAACTACACAAAACCACAAGGAAACCAAACTACTCGTTTTGAGAATGTGGATGCAGGATATCCTAATGTTTCTCAGAGCATCATGTCGAGTTGGTTTCGTTTCTTTAAACATTCGCAGGTAGAAAGTTCTCAGATCTCGTGATCAAACCCCCGGGACATGACGGATGGCGTGAGACCCCTGTGGACCTAACAATGAACAACAGACAGCAGGACCTAATGAAAACCTTAAATCTATTACGTAACGGTCCATGGAAAGATGCTAATCGAAACCGTGCTCTCATACGGCAGCACGGCGGGACTGTGCGCCGCCTGGCTGACTCTTTATTTGTTGAAAAAAAAAAGAAAAAAAAGTCACGGGACAGAGAAAGTGCCCATGTGACTCCACAGATAGGACGGGTGAAATATCACAAGAGGGGGATGATTTTGAGTAGAACATGAGAAAACCATGTGCTGTTTACTATTTGACTCGTTATTTAAAGACCTATCTGATCAGTCTTTTTTTTTTAAATCAGAAATCAAATATAGGCTACCATACACATTTCTTCATTTTAGGTTGTATTAAACTTCTTGTGTGTTTAAAATGCCAAAAAAAAAAAAAAAAAAATGATCACGTTTGTAGGCCTTTAAATGTATTTAAATACATTTATAAATGTATTTATTAATTGTATTCCCTTCTGCTTTTATTTGTCAGGTCAAAATGTTAAAATCTTTGAAGTGCTACATTTATACCAAGTAAATAATTAGTTTCAGTTCTGATTTATAAAGGATGCACATTGTTGCATGACGGTGAGTAAAATGAATTCTCAAGACCAGAAAATGCATTATTGAACAGTTTATTCTTATCTGGAACCCATTTCAATTTTGCGCAGTGTAACATCAAGTTGTTCTTATGCATGAAAACAACTCGTAAATTCTGGCTATGCTGCATGTTTGATGAGGTATTTTGTACATTTGTATATAGATATAAATGATATGTTGATGTGTAAAAATGTTCATACAAGCAGGCAAATATATATCTTCCAATATAACTCCAATTGATTCTGGACCAAACTGTTACTGAATGAACTTTATGTGAGGAGTGTTTTGCACAACACCACAATTCTTATAAAAATAAGTACCGGTAGGCCTTAGACTGAATTAGACGTGCCATTATTCGATAGTACGGTATATTGGGGTAATGAAAGTACAGTATATTATCATGCACACTTCAAAATAAAGTGAATAATTATAGATACCTCATTATTCAAACTGTTAAGATTTTTAGAATGCACATTAGCTTATTTTCCATTAACTGGTTAAAACTGATGACACTGAATGCATTTGGTGCGTAATAAATTGGTCCAATTTTCACATTAGTCTGAACAAAAATGGCAAACCGGCAGAATGAAAATGCAAATTCCCTATCTCACAGTATGTGGCACTTATGGAAAAGCAGAATTACAGTGGTAACCCAAAGTTACCGCACACAAAGCTGTGCAACTTTCTGTTTCTGAACTCAAGGAAATTAAATCAAATAGCCTTTAAATGTTCACATTTTTGTATTTACTATGGTATTAATCAATCAACACCAAATACTTGATATTCATTTTCAAATAAACATTAAGCATTTAATATTTATTAAATACTAAGCATTTGTTTGCACTTGTACATTTTAATCTGGACTAAAACAGGCCAGCCCAGAAAAGATATCCAGAGAATGGTTGAAAAAATGTTCTGATTCTTTATAGTTGTGTTCTTTTGCACTTTAATCTGTTTGAAACATGTTTAATTTAAAACATGCACAATAAAAATGTACATTGTATGTAAATGCTCCAGGTTGTTAAGAGGACAAGTTTGTTCATATTTTCAACCTGTTTTTGTAACATAATTCAATACCGCCATAATACCGTATACCAAGTTTCCACAATTACAGCTTTGAAAATTTGATACCATCACAAGCCTAGACTGAATCCAAAGACTGTGTGTTGAGATGTGACCAGACATAGGAGGGTCCGGCAGGAAGGACAGGGAAGGTGGGATTGGCCACAGGAACAAATGTGGGTGAGTGTTTGAGTCTGTGCTTTTTGAGTTGACCGAGTTCTCTAAAGCAGCATCCGCACTCGGCGCAGCGGTATGGTCTCTCTCCCGTGTGGATGCGCTGGTGCTTGTGTAAGCTGTCCAAATGGCGGAAGCGTTTCTCGCAGTATCTGCAAGGATACGGCCGCTCTCCTGTGTGTATGCGCTGGTGTGTTTTCAAGCAGTAGAAACGTCTGAATCCCCGGCCACAAATGTTGCAGCGGTGCACTTTATCAGGGCTCTCGACTGTCCCGCTGAACCTGGAGTCACTCCCCACAGGTGGCGCCAAGGCCAGCAAAGCATCGCCATCGCTCTCCGGCACTGAAGGCGAGATTTGTGGTAACTCTTGCATGGAGTTGGATGAAGAGACTACTGGTGGATTTGATGAGGGAGGCTCTAATGTGAGTGAATCAGGATCGTCTTCGATTTTAATGGTGCCCTGTTTGATATCATCAGTGTCCTCCATCACCTGTATCAGTTCCAGCTCATTAACATTCCCAGCAGGTGTGCTTATTTCAAACTCAAAATTCGTCATGTCAGACTGCTCCTCTGGTAGGTTTGCGGAGGGGCCTGAAACTTCTGTCTCCTCGTGTCTCCTCTCAGTGTCTGTTACTGCAGAACTGTTGTCTGTAAAACAAAGAAAAGCTCACGTTTATATGGATGAAACTATACTCAGACTAAAGAATCTGACATGCTGTTAATCCAATAAAGCCTACTGTATCATATTTGATACATTATTTTTCTAAGCCCTCTAAATTATCAACATGACCAAAACTTGCACACAACCTATTACATGCCTCTGCCCTCTGATTGATAGTTCATACGTTTTCAGTAAGTAAAAGGCCTCCCCCTTCAGGTCAGGTCATTTTTTTCTGTAAAGTAAATGTTATAACTTTTATATTGTTAGTAATATGTCAAGATATAGCTACACTTACTGCACTGAAGCAATTTAGGATTACTTGGTTATCTTGCATCATATTTTTTAAAAGAAATGTGTTCAAATGTAAGTATCGAATTTGAGACAACAGGCTTTTGAGAAAAGTTTTTTTGTACATCTATCAATTATCATGGTATTGCATTATATGCTTTGCCCTTCACAATTAAAATGACAGAGCTCTCATCATAAAACTGGCATGTTATGCAAGCAGTGTTATACTGTTATAAAAGTCTCGTTGATTTACATTACAGGCTATGAGAATCTTTATGGCCTTATAAAGAACATCTGCACCAAATGTTTTTGCTCAGTTTGGGCCTCTGAACACAATTGTTAGCTCCATATTCCCACTACATGCAACTCTTTAAAAAATGTTTTTGTCTAAAGGCAAAATAAATAGTTCCATTTCAAACAGATATTTCTGGCTATTATTTCCTGTCAAGGTTTAGAGGGTTAATAAACAACTATGATCATTACTCTATGGCAGGGTTCCTCAAATCTGGTCCTGGAGGGCCACTCTTCTGCAGAGTTTAGCTCAAACCCACCTACTTACCTGATTTTCTAGTGAAGACCTTGATTAGCTTGCTCAGGTTTGTTTGATCAGGGTTGAAGCTAAACTCTGGAGGGCAAAATTTCCTTCGAGCCTATTGGTAAATGGAAATAATAATAACAACAATGAACCTTTTTCGCCCTCATTCGTGATGAAAAACGGGCCTTCTGTCTCATCTTCTGGTTTGAAGAGAACAGCACTGTTTTCCAGAAGAGGTTGTGCGGTCGTGGGGTCACCCCTGAGTGCTGAACTGTTGCCTACTGAAGACCCTCGTGTCTTTCTGCGGTTGACACACTCACGAGGCCAGTCAGACTGCACCGTGGGGAGACAGAGGCCAACACTAGGGAGATTTTTAGGACTGTGAATTCTTCCCGGTGAGTTTCGGAAGGTCTTGCGGGAGGAATCTCTTCTCTGCACCTGTGATGTGGGGCTTCCCTCCGCCGCGCATGATGGAAACACACAGTGTGCGTCGTCTGCGTTTGTGTGCACGATATTTGACCCAGGCAGGGTTCTGTTGAGAAGTAAACACTGTTTGATGTTCTTTTCAGCCGCGGTCATGTAGTAGCGCACCGCTTTCAGCTCGCTCTCGGAGATCTCCAGTCTCTCGCGCAGGCTCTGGTTCTCTCTGTGCGACTCTGCGGCAGCATTACGAGCCGCGGCCAGCTTTATGCCAACAACTCGCGCTGTTTCTTTCAACACTGATTCTACTGCGCATCTTACCGCATGGTCGATAGTGGAGGCGAGTTCGCACTTGAGAAAAGAAACGCTGATGTCCATGCTCAAAGTCATGGTTATTCTGATCCACGGCAGTATTTCACTGTAAGATGTAACGTTAATGTTACATACGTGATTGCAGAGCTCAAAAGAGATGGTTTGGGTTTCTGTCTTAGCTAACTGAGGGCTAGAATAGAATAGTTTACGGCCTCGCTTCCATTACCAATACTTCGATACGTTACCTGGTTACAATGTTAAAAGCACAGAAAACCTAAAGTGGTTTGTAAATCTTGCTCAAGCTGTCGCGTTCTGCCATCATCACAAGTAGTGTCGAGGAACAATGACGTCAACAGCAGCCTGGGATTTGTAGTTTTCATTCTTTGAGCCTTTAGTTGTTGTGAGTAAAGTCATTCTGTTTATTATTAGTTGATATAGGCTACAATATACAGTACTGTGGAAATATCTTAGGGCACGTTAGTATTTTCACCAGAAAATAAATGTTTTTAAAGTTATTTATATCTTGCTAGTGTGTCAGTAGGAAATATCAGTTTACATTTCCAAACATTCATTTTGCCATTAATTGTAATAATCCAGTGAGATTTTTTTTTTTTTATGCACAAGCAGGGGTGCCACAAGCAATTTTGGGCCCAATGAAAGAATAAGAGGTTGGGTGCCCTACCGCACCCATTCTATTAATAAAATTGATCTCTGAATGCCCCAAAAGTGCGTGGGCCCGTAGAATCGTACTAACTACACCCCCCAATTGGAAATTTAAACTGATATTTCTTACTGACACACTACAGCAAGATATAAATAACTGGCATAAAACCTTTTTTTTCTGGTGAAAATACTAATGTGCGTGCCTAAGACTATTGCACACTATAGATATATTTTAAATACATTTTTGAATATAAAAGTGGATCCATATAAGAATGAATGTATTTTTTATTTAAATAAAAAATTGGAATGATGTAATTGGAATGATCATCCATCAATGCTCCATTATGTGGTCTCCTTAGTACAGATAATCAATGAGTTCGTCATGGCGACAAAGGGGAAGTGT